CCCCCCCCCCCCCCCCCCCCCCCGCCTTTCCTCCCACTGAAAAATACACCACTTCAAAAATCTGACCAGAATTTACGGAAATATCTAAGTGAGACTTTAAATTTAAGCACACATACCATTTTGACAGCATGTTGAGCATGCTCTCGAGCTGCGGCTCGTGTCCTTTCCAGTCCTCTGCTGTTACCAACCATTTCCCAGGCCAATTCCACATCGCCTTCTTTCGAAAATCGTCGGGTTATTAAGCTGTTCAGTTCCGGATACTCTTCTGCGGCATACAAAACTGGAGCTGTTGCAAGCCCTGCAAATTTGATCCCCTTTTTTCGAGTCAGATTTTTTTGATTTTTTTGAATTCCCCTGTAAGCTTTAAAGTTAATTACCTAGCTTAAGGTCGTTTGCGGTCGGTTTCCCCGTAACAGATGACGTGGAAACAAAATCGAGCAAATCATCAATCATTTGAAAAGCAATGCCTAGTGATTTTCCATATTCATAAGCAGATAGTTCGTTAACTTCCGAAACATCTGAAACACTAATAAAAATAGGCATATTTTTTACAGCTGTGTTTTTCTAGGATGCCAATCTGTTCTGACCAAAGTAAGATGATGCTCGTAAAAAAACAACTTCAGAAGAAGATTCTAATGATAAAGTACACGAACTCTGATTCTGAACAGAAAAACTATTTTGCTTCAGTGATTTAACTACGCCTAATCTTACTCCTGCTAGGAAAACACACCTGTAAAAACTAACCTGAAAGCATAGCAGCTGACTTGCAGCTATTGGCGAAAAGGGAAGCAGTTTTGGAGTAAGTTTTAGCCATATATCGACTGAACCGTTGCGAGGCACTAAGTTCCGCTTCCTCATTCATTTGCATGAATTCCCCCTTCACTAAATCCTCGATGATTGATGCCATTACGGAAATCACGGAAGGCCTGCCGATGCTACACAAAACTTGCGTTGCACGAGCCAAAATAAAATCACCAACCAACACTGCCTGAAATTACAAGGCCAGAAAAAGATTACACATTAAAATCAGGATATTTTCACTTGTTCATTCTTTTCATTTACTTCATTATCTCTTTTTACTTTTTCTAGTCGCATTTTTGCTTACCCTCAAATTCAATATCCCCAAAAAATTGACTACCATTAAACACAGATGAAATCTTATACGCATCGTGATCTATTGAGATATTGCAATGTGAAAGAACAGAAGGGCAATTTGACTTGCGGGTAAATCCCCAAAAAAATTCCCTTGAAGATCACGTACAAAGATTTCAAAAAATAAACGCAGTCTAAAAAAACAAAATTTAAGAATAAAATGAGACATCAATACAGCCTCCTACCCGCCATGTATAAGCGTGTGTCCGATTATATAAGACTAAACTAGAGATTAGATTAGACAGGAGACGAGGAAGAAAGAGAAAAAATATATGGAAATAAAGAAAGAAGAGAGGAAAGTCTATTTTTAAGCGAGTATTATAAGTAATTACCATTTTATTACCCCAAAGTGCGTTCACGGTTGGATTTCCGCGCCTCATGCCAGCTTCGTCAATCACATCGTCATGCACCAGCGAAGCGGTATGAATCATTTCTGAGATTATCGCAATTTTGAACTGATTCGTTGTCACTGTTTCACGTCCTGAATCTATCAATAATCTGAAAAAGACAAATGCATCAGTCAGTTGCAATAAGAAAATCCATTCTTTTATAGTTCAATGCATAAGTGGATCTAGGGCGGACTCCTTGGCGAAAATGGTTGTGGACCACGGCGGAATCGAACCACCCCTCCATTTCCGGACGCGCCGCACTACCCACTACACTACCAGCCCTGTACACCATAAGCAGCTTGGCAGCACATCTGCTGTGTATCTGCCTTTCAAGACAGAATACATCGCTCCTTCCATGGTTGTCTCCGACAATCCTCCCATACGTTGCAATTTTCTTGCTAGCTTTTCGCGGGTTTTGCGCGGCAAGCACAATGCATTGATACAAAAACTTACGACTTTGGTTCAATTTGATTGCATGCCCGCGCCATGAGCAGGCATATCGTTGGTCGAAACAGTTTTCCACCTTGACCAAAATAATATTTGGCCATTTCTTGAAAGGTATTTGTGAAAGCTGAACTTGAAAAACACGTGGATAGCAACGATGGGTTGTGTTCGGTACTGTTCCTCACAAGAGTCTCCATGATTTCATACTGGAAAAAAAGAAAGGTGTTCTTCAAATTCCTTTACATAACAGATAAATGAATACTACAAACTGATATAACTGTAGTTCATAGTGTAACTTTCCAGAAATGCAGCCATTAATTTCTCCAGTTACTTTAGCTAATGCTGCATCATCCCGTGGTTAGCCTGCTCTCAATCCTGACGTTTGCTTATATGAAACTCAGAAGTTTGCCAAAAAAAAGCGATTCAAAATCTAGCTTATCGGACAAGTGAAATCTAAAGGAATTTAGCTAGCCCAGTAAATTATCTAAAGAAATTTAATTTGTTGGATAAAATAAGCAAGAAAAAAACCACGTTTTTTCCAATACCACCAAAAAAATGTCATTTCCCAAGGCTTGCTTAAAAAACTGTGCTCTTATATATGTAATAAAATGCTCCCACAACAAAGAACATATGCATATCTTCTTAACGACAAAAAACAGCTAACATGATGTTTACGAGTTAAAACATTTTAGAAAAAAAATTAAAAGGGAAAACTACCTGAAGCGTTTTCAACTTTTCCCGAATGAAACTGGGCAAACGACCGGAATACACCTCTTCCGCAGCTGCAGATGGACGGTAAAATGAACGAGTAGGTGTTTTTACAGCACAAGGCCGACAATGCGCTGCTGGCACCTGTAATGTAACAAGCTCTAACTTAATGCGTAAATGCAAAAGAAATTATTCTTTTAGTATAAAAGATACGAAAAGCACAAGATCGTAATTGATGGAAAAGTTGCCAATTGCGCAGACGGAGATCTAAAGTATGAACCCTCCCTGAAAAGCTACAATCGGCTTATTCTGGTTACTACAATCAGCTTATCGAAATCGAGAGAGTATTTTTGAAAAAAAAAAGGATTTTTTGGGACTGAACAAAAAAAGTGGATGAAAACCTGTTCTGAGCAATAGGATCGTCTCCAGAATGAACGTGCACAATGTATGCTAGCTCGAACTCGCCATTTCGTATAATCCATCGATTGGTACCAATTTTATTACAGATTCACGCCTTCAACAAGAAAAATTATGATGCATTCAAAGAAAACACTTGCTCAGAGTAGTAGCACGATTAAAACAACCATATAAACAATCAGACTGTCCGTCAGATGAGTGACAATGTGACCAAGCGAGAGGAAATTCTTTTGGAGAAACAGCAATTAGTGAACGGAATAGCCCGTTTTGCAGCAAACTGATGACTAAATGAGACGCACTTTCGGTCACAACAACAGTACGGAGGTTGGCCATTTCTCTGTTTCGCCTAAATCCATCGTTTCGCTGAAGTATCGGCATTCATCTAATTCTTCTTTTTTACGCTTTTATCTCTTCCTGAATATCCATAATCCCGGTGCAAAATCACTGAGGCCACCACGCTCTATGAAACTCACCCGAACTAACCGGAGTGGCGAATAAAAAACACTCTGAGCCTCTTCTATACCTTGACACAGCACCATTCTCCACCTATGCAGCTGACAACCACTTTTCCAGTTACTTTGACCAATACTGCATCACAAATGGTGGACAGCCCTGCTGCCGATCTTGACGTTTGTTTAGCAACTCGAAAATGGGACAAGGATTTACCGCACGCAAGAAACCAAAGATACGTAGATTTACCGCACGTGGGGGACTTTTTTGCGTAAATTTGGAGAAAACAGGAAAGGAAGGAGGGACGGGGGG